GAGGCTGCGGGGGAGGCAGCTGGAAGCCAGGACCAGGCCACAGAGCCCTGTCTGCCTGCCCCACCCCTGGCCTGGGACGGGGGAAGGGAAAGGGGGGACAAGAGAGAGCCAGGGTGAGCGGGGGGGAAGGGGAAGGAGGGCGAGAAAGGGCCGGGGGCTGGGGAGAAGGGGCAAGAAAGGGCTGGAGGGAAAGGAGGGGAGAGAAAGGGCCCGGGGGGATAGGGATAGGAAGAGGTGAGGGGTTGAGCCTTCCCTTGCCTCTTAAACCTGTCTCCCATGAGGCCTTGATTAGAGAACTGTCCCACACACTTGAGTTTATGCTATAGAGCTGGGTTACTTCCTCTGCCCACCACTGATGCTGACATTATTAATAGTAGTGCACATCTGAAGGTGGGGAAAAAACAAGAAAACATCAAATTAGAATTTGGTCTTAAAAGTCTTGGAGATGTGCAGAAAACAGGTGTGTAGTGATGGTGTTCTGTTTGCATGGGTACGTCTACACTAGCTCCTTAGATCGAACTAGGGAGGCTAAAGAGGGTGACTGAAATTGCTAATGAAGCGCGGGATTTAAATATCCCATGCTTGATTAGCATATCCCCGGCCAGTCGACATTTTGGAAACTGACTAGCCCAAAGTAACTGCCCGTGTCTACACGTGGCAGAGAAGCACCATTCTGAGATAAACCTCATGGAATAGGATTTAACTGTTAATTTGAACTAAGGGGTTTATCTCGGAATTGTGCTTCTCTGCCACGTGTAGATGGGGGAAGTTACTTCAGGCTAGTCAGTTTCCAAAATGTCGACTGGCCGGGGATATGCTAATCAAGCATGGGATATTTAAATCCCGCGCTTCATTAGCAATTTCATTTGCTCTCATTAGCCTCCCTAGTTCAAACTAGGGGACTAATGTAGACGTACTCCATGACTAGTGGGGATGCCATGTGTGGGGAACTCTATGCTTTAGCAGTGTTCCTGGATTATTTGGTTTGATCTGGGATAATTGCCAGTTTTTTAAATTAAATTAATGTTATTCTTTAAAAATTGTCCTTGAAACCCAGTTCATTGGTAGAAATTTAGATAATAATAATAATTATTAATAAAACTCTATAGTACAGTGACACCTTTGTTTATCCGACACTCTGTTAACCAGAAAACTTTTTTAACCGGCATTGCCCCCAGCCACAATACTGTCACATCTTCAGGCGCACAGGCCTGGCTTGGTTTACCATGATTGGCTTAACAGTTTTTTATTTAAGAAGTACTAATCATCTTTAACTCAAAATAGAAATGTGAGACCAACTGCCTCACACTACAAAACTATCAATATTAAAAACTTGAGTTTTACTATTATTGTCCATTGGTTTTTCCTAGATTGATGGGACTCTCAGATAACTGGAATTTTTAGATAACCGGAATACTCTAATCACTGAGCATGCCAGATAACACAGGTTTTACTGTATTTTGTTGTTTTGTTTTTTTAAAAGTGAACTGCAAATCAAATATATTTTTAAATATATAAAATACGTTTAAAATATATACAAATATAGAAAATATATTTTTTAATATATAAAAATTGTTTCTACCCATAAGTGCTAATCTAGTGAAGGCAAATAAGCACAAAATACATTCACCTTTGTAGAGGCACAGTTTCAAGTGCAAGGCCAGGCGGGACCATTATGATCATCTAGTTTGGCATTCTACCTAAAATAGACCAGCAGACTCTATAAAAACAGCAAACAAATCATATGCTGTTGTAGTTCACATTTGAAATAAAGATATCAAGCTTTTTCTAGGCAAGACTTATAAATGTTTACTTGATGATCATATAGCTGAAATTTTAAATACAGTATATTTTTTCTCCTCTTATAGAATCTGTACCTTGCTATACTACAAAGGTATCATTTACTCTTCAGCTCTGAAGATCAGAAATCTCTAAGATACTGTAGGACACCAGAAAAAAAAATTGTATGTCTATGTGAATGGAAAATATCACGGAGGGTCAAAAGCAGCTCATAAATAATGATCACGGAATTTCTTATTTGTTACCATATCTGCTTTCTACAGCTACAGACAAATTTGCAAGGACTAAATAGTTTTTAATCAGATATCATTTCACTTTTTAAATGAACGTATTTATTTTCAAGTCAATAGCAAAAGCACTAATTTATACACTGCTAAGGCCCTCATCCTGCAAATATTTATACATGGGTTGTATTTCACTACTGTGAATAGGGCTACTGAATGAAGTTAAGCAGATATGTGTTTGCAGGATAGGGGCCTTATGGAGTATCAGGTATATATTCTGTTGCGGTTCTAAAGAAACATTTGTTTTGTACAAGCAGTGGAAGTGCTAATGCTTTAGAAAATGCATGTGATCTATTATATTTTAAAGACCAAATGACTAAGTCAGTTGTTTGCAATAGTTCTTAACGGTAGGTTTAAATGCATTGTTTCTGAGTGAGATGTTTACTTTCTGCTGTTCAGAAGGGTGCGTCTGTGGTTTTTCAATTTAAATAAATTTCAGCAAGTAGACAGCATGGAGTCTGAAAATACTGTCACTTTGTTCAAATATATTATAAGCATTTAAATTATCACAAATATTAGTACACTGGCAACTGGAATTTTTGCAGTAAACAATTTTCTATTAACAGTTTGGCAATGGCTTAATAGGATTTTAAAGAAAAATAATCTCTGGGAAGAAGTTTGAATGAATAAAACATCACGAAAATATTTTGAAACCAAGCACTTTGTCTAATATTGATTGCTCTTAAATTACAGTATTTTTGTTGGCATAATGCAAATGCCTTAGCTGTTTAAGTATGATTTTGTTGGTTATAATATTTTGTTTTGCTTGTTTGTAACCTGTTGTACTCAGTTCTGTAAGTGTACAAATTGTAGAGTGTTTTGATGATTTAGTTTTGCATATGAATATTTTTCATTTATTAAATCGACTTTTAATCTAAAAATACTAATTGAAACTTGAACTCATTTAATTAAAGTAATCCCAAAATGTTTGTGTATGGGGGAGAAAAATGTAATAAAGGATGGTAACATCATAAGGATGACATATTACAGAAGAGTGCTAGCTCTGCTATAGATGAGATTTGTATCAGGGCTGCTTGCTCTTCCCCTTCCTGTCCCTCTCAGGGAGTGAGAGAAACAATTCTATTTCAGGCACATCCCATTTTCCTGGCATAACCAAACACGTCACTTTAAGTTATGATAAGAGGAAGCTGCATATAGATTTTGGTGGTTCTAGCTCTTATTGTTTAGGAGGAGTTCTTGAACAGACAGGCAAACTTTCTCAAATATGTAGTAGATATACAGTAATTACTCATTTAACACGTGTCCGCTTAACACGTTTTCGCTATAGCACGATTTTTTTTTAGGGAACATTTTTTGAATTACACAACTGTCCCTGGAATAACACGATTTCCCCAGCTGGCCTGTTGCCGGAGACTGCACGGGGCTTCCCCCACCTCCCTGCAAAGCAATGGAGGGTTCGCCACTCGCTGCACCGTTCCCCGCTAACTCCCCCTCGCCGGACGCCTTGTCCCCTCTCCTTCACCCCCACTTGCAGGCCGGTCGCTGGGTTTCCCCAGCCAGCCCATGCTGGGTTTCCCCAGCCGGCCCATCGCCGGCGGCTGCGCGGGGCTTCCTCCACCTCCCTGCAAAGCGGTGGAGGGTTCGCCGCTCGCTGCGCTGTTCCCCGGCAGACCCATCACAGGGGCATACTGCCAACCTAATCCCCCTTCCCTCTCTGCTCCGCCCTTCCCCAGAGCCAAACACCTCCCCTCCCTGCTGTAACCCAGTCCCCTTTCTTCCCCACTCTTCTGTCTCGGTCCCAACAGACACCACCGCTTGAAACGCAACCCCTCTTCTGTCTCAGTCCCAACAGACACCACCGCTTGAAACGCAACCCCCACCTTTTCCATTATTTTCAATGGGAAAATTGACCCCGCATAACACGTTTTCACTTAACATGATCATTTTCTGAAACATATCTGTAGTGATAAATGAGGAATTACTGTACAGGTAAAAATTACATTAAAAGAACATTAAATCACTGAAAGGTTAGGAAATGCAGAATTAAGGTTTCTGTGCAACCTTAATTTGTTTCCCCTTCACATATGTGCATTATGATAAAATCATTGATTACATGATCACTTACTATTTTTTCCATTCAAACTTAATGTTCTCTTTTAATCTACATTTTTGCATGTGGTTTCTTAGGTTTTTAAAAAGTGACCTGAAATAACAGAAGAGTATTATATGAAACCATGTTGAGTCTCATGTGACATATGATTACAGGTTTAAGCCCTAGAATTAGAATAAAAACACAGACATGCCCCATCCCAACATACCTACCTACCTACATACATACATATGAAATCTACAAACAATGACTGAGTTCACTAACACTACTTAGTGAGCAAGAAAGAGTATCAGAAATATGACTTACAGAGGTAATTTATATAATATTCTTATTACATTTCTAAAAAACTTTTGAAAATATGATTTTACACTATTAAATTATTTTTCTACATTTGTTACACTAGTAAAGATAGGTGAGATTCATTGGCCCCCAAATATTATGTAAAATACTCCAGATCAACAAAATAATGTGGAAAATAATACAATTTATTAATCGCTAAGGCTGTGATTCTGTAAACACTTATCAACACGCTTAACATTAACCATCTGAATAGTCCTATGACTACTCATTTGCATCATACATGGGGGCTATGTCTACACGGGCCCCTTTTTCGGAAGGGGCATGCTAATTTTGAAAGTGGGAATAGGGAAATCCGCGGGGGATTTAAATATCCCCCGTGGATTTAAATAAACATGTCCGCCGCTTTTTTTCCGGCTTGGGGAAAAGCCGGAAAAAAAGCATCTAGACTAGCGCGATCCTCCGGAATAAAGCGCTATTCCGGAGGATCTCTTATTCCAGCATAGGAAAATATGGTCACCCTACGTCCAGCCTATTTAGGTGAGACCATCTCTTTTCATTTTACAGGTAGTAATCCAACTGCGGAAACAAGTTGGATTTCTTGCCCTGGGTTACTCTGCGGGTTCAGGAGCCAAAAGGCAAAAACCAAAGACTCCCCCCTCCCCATTATTTGTAAAAGACTCTCCGCTTATAAGCCAGCCCCATGATGGCTTGGGACCCCGCCAGGTAAGCCGCACTGGAGCTGGCTCCTTGGCCTCGTCTTCACTCCCAAGCACGGCTGGTGACTAAGGGGAGGGGGCCACGGATGAATTCACCCGCGGGGCAGGCTCCACAAAGGCGCCCGGTAGTTCCCAGGGCGAGCGGGGCGGCTCTACAACGCTGTGCCGAGAGGCGGGAAGCTGGCGCCAAAGCCAGCGGGTGAGTAGGAGGAGGAAACGGAGCGGGGCTGGCCCCAGGCCGGGGCAATCCCCGCGCTCGCTGCTGCAGGTGCGGGCGCGGCGCGGGGCTATGTAGGGGCGCGGGCGGGCGCAGGGCAGAGCGGCTCTTCTGTGAGGATCAGCCGCGCGGGCTGCGAGGAGAGGTGAGGGCTTGGCGTGCGAGCCGGGGGGGCAGCCCGGCCGCCTCTTAT